ACAGCACTGACCCAGGAGTGCCTGAATAAAGTGTGATGTGGAGCCAAAGGAGGTAAAACTTCCATTTTTACTACAAAAACCTTGCGATGTGAAGAGTTCCTTGCCCTTCGTCGCTTCCCACTGGCGCGCAGCCTTGGGACTCGCGAGCCTTGCTGGCAGCTGACGCCTGCGGCTCGGGCAGCGAAGCCCCGCTGTCTCCTCGGTGGTGGGTGTTGAGCTTCAGCTCGGCTGGAGCCCAAAAACCCCTCAGCCCGGTGCCTGCCCATGCACAACCGGAAAAATCCGAAGTGCGAGCAGTGCTTTGACAGAATCTGGAATCCTGCCGGTTCAATCAACTCGAAATGTTGAGAGTTTCATCTCCGATAATGACCTTTCCTGTACATGCATTTTTGTTGGACTCCTGCTAGTTTTTGCAAGCCCGTACTTGGGGGTTTTTCCATAACAGGGTTTTCATTTGTAATGGTTTGTGGTCGTGGCACAGCTGCAGTACGACCTCAAATGGAGTAATGAGCCCTCTTCTTCATGCTGCCTGTGGCTTTCTGGTGGGCTGTCTGGGGGGGTGTTGAGAATTTTAATTCATTTTCTGGGGTTTTTGGACTGGCGTCCTTGCGCCTGCCCGGCTTCCGTAGGAGGATGGTTTCCTCGGCTTCGGTTGTCTGTTCTTCCGGCATTGCGTGTGCACGCGAGCTGCCCTTGGTCTGCGTTTGGGGTGAGTTGGTGCTGGGCACTCCCGTTAGCTGAGCGGGGGAGTGGGTTTGATAGCACCTTCAGACAAACTTCCTAGCAAAACCTAAGCTTATCATCCAGATCATAAATCCTGAGCAGCTTAAACTTTCTTAATAAATACCTGGGTCGATATTGGTGGTACAGAATAGTTCCTACAGGCGTTGGGTTATTGCAGCCCTTATCTGACAGCAAACACAATGCTGGTGCTCCGGCGGTCCGTCAGCACGCCCAGTCCTTTCACCTGCTGTCGTCGTGGGTCACGTTCAATGCCCAGTACGGGGTTTTACACTTCTGCCTCCGTGGATAGCGCTGAGATGGTGGCAGCATCCCTGTGAAGCCACATTAACTCCATTGCAGGGAAGAAACTGGAGGCCAGAGCCTCGCTGAGGCGAGGAAGGGGAAGGCCACTTTGGTCGGTTGTTGGATAACGCAGTTTTACTTGAGTGTGTCAAATCAGCTGTTTATTCCTTTCAGCCATGGCAGTCAATAAAACCTCTGCGCCGAGTGCTCCGCGGGACGTGGAACACAGGATAGCTGCTGTGAAGGTGATGGTTTGAGCAAGGGGTGGGGTGGGGGCTCCGCACTGCGGTGATTTCCGAAGGTGATGGGGAGATGCTGTACGTGTGCTTGGAATTTGATTTAACGTGTATCCAGCTCGTTTGCTTGTGACTGCTGAGCACTGGAGAGGATTTCTGGCAGATGGGGCCCGCCTGTAGGAAGCGGTGACCTTGGCAGTGCCAGAGGCTGCCAGAGGACCGTGTGTGATGGATCTGGTTTGCCACTTGTCCTTCAGAATTTCATGCTAAAGATGTTTAATACAGCTGGAAAGATTGTCTCTCCTCGCTGTGCGTAGTCTGCTGGGGGAATACAGCCACCGGGCAGATAAAAACCCAACTGCCCCTGGAGCGAAGGGAGAGCGGGACCGCTGCGTGATGTTTCCAGGATGACACCTGCGTACCAGAGAGGCTGGGAGGGGGTGTATCTGTTGCTCACCTAAGGACTTTACACTGGAGAGCTGTTCTTCCCCTTCCTCATAAGCATCAATACATGAATGCTGCTAATAAGGTCAATCGGTTTCCTTGGTGATAGCTCCCAGTTAAGGGAGCTTCGTGTTGCTGAGGGCTCGAGGGGGTCCCTCCATGGGCTCAGGGGCTTCGTCTGCTGCTGCTGATCCATAGGGAAGCACTGAAATGTTTGTGCCCGAATGCAGAGCCAGTTGCAGTGTGATAATCCCATTGCCTGGGGCAGCTTCCCCTGGTGCCACCGCTGCCTCCCCCGTGTCCCAGGGGGTCACTCTTTGCCTCTCCTCCACAGCGGTTCTGGGGCGGTGTTTGCCATCTTCTGCTCCAAAAGACCGGTGAGCATCAAGCAATGCTTTTCACCGAAGTCTTGTTGATCTCTATGTCCTTGACAGCACTTTCTGTGGCTTCCTGGCTCCCCGGCACAAGCCCTGCTTGGGGGTGACCATCACCGACCCTTTTGCCTGCTCCCTATTCCCCCGGAAACATAAATGAATAATCACCTTCAAAGCCCAAACAGGGCTTGTGCAAACTCTCCCGAGACAACCCAACTGGAACAAGCCCTCCGGAATGCCCTCTTGTGCCTCTCTCATTCCTTGCCCCTTTTAATTCCCCTCGGTGCGGGCAGAATGATTTCCAATTACATTTTTGTTGCCGAAGGCATAAATCTGCAGGCAGAGCTGCGTGGCGCTGGTGGAGGTAACTAACCATGCCGGGCTTGGATGTTTTATGGTGGACATCTCCTCCCCTTTTTCGACAACAAATTACCTCAATCAACTTTAATATTCTACCAGCAGTGATTTGCAGTACTCTCATCCTTCCAGGGCCACTGAAAAGCTTCTGACCAGAACACGCAGCCCAGCGCAGCATGGAGAGCACAGATTATTATGGAGCGAGCTCCGAGCTTGTTTTCATGTGGATGGGCTGGGAAGGGAAGCAATCTCGTGCTGCTTTCTTAACAAAACCCACACTTTCCTGAGCCCCCAGGATCATTGTCATCCTGAAGTGCAATAAATGGCTAATTGACCTAATCCAAGCTGTGAGGAAGAGACTGATTAGCTAAAGTCCTCGTTTTTACAACTGAGTAACTGTCACTACTAGAGCTGTGGGTTTTTTTCTTTTCCTATGAAAAGGCAGTAATTTGGTGCATGCTTCAGCACACACAGATCCATCAATAAAAGGCCCTTTCTTGTTACTGCCCTTTCTGAGAAGGGCTAGATCCTCACTGGGCACAGAGCCTCCAATTTAGGCCTTTGCAGCCGAAAGCTGAGCTGGTGGGCTGCTGGTAGCCCCTTGCAGAAAGAGCCTGATAAATGCAAAATATCTCCTGGTTCACTGACTGTTTCCCAGCAGGTAGAAGCTGGGCCGGAGGGGAAATACAGCAGGAGCAACCTCCTGGCTGGTTTGTGTTGCTGAGGGACTTGAGCGTGTCAGGTATGGAGGAGTGATGCAGCGCTCTCAGTGCGAAGTGCCTCAGGTTTATGCGTTTGCATGGCCAAAGCTTTCTGTGCCCACCCTGTGCCCAGCCTGCAGAATCCAGCCCGTAAACTGGGCTGTTTATTCCTCCAGCCAGCTACAGCAACCCTTCTCTTAAGCACCCTGGAGAACCCGGGCCTGCAGTGCACTCCCCTCCGCTCACAGTTTTTGCTGGAGTGCCCTGGGCTGCCAGCTGGGAATTCGACCTCTACAGAGGGCAAAGTCAGTGCTGGGTCTTTGTTAAACACCGTCACTCATTCTGATTACTGAGAGCTCCTTTATTTCAAACAGAACAGTTTACTCACTGCAAAGTTTTTTCATGCCTGTTGGAAAGAGTTAGCAGTAAAAAAAAAAAAAAAAAGGAAAAAAGGCTTGGATACATGCAAATCATACTGAACTTCATCAAATGTATTAAAACGAGTAGCAGTTTCTACTTGCATCTGGAGGAGAAAACCACCGACATCATGAAGCCCCTCTGGAAAAGCTTCCCAGTGCGGCAATGGTAAATGAACAGAGACAACCAAATTCTGCGTCTGCACCCAGGAAAAGCAAAGCCGGGGGGTCACTGCTGCGAGCCAGGGACATGATGCTGTAAAGCTGGTCAGGGATAGCGCACTGACCAGACAGAAAGGGGCTCCCTCTTGAAAAGGGAATCATGTTTGGTCCTGTGAGAGGAAGTTTTTCCCACTTTCCTGCCCTTCCCCAGGTTTAGAATCAAATGAAATTGTGGTTCAAAGGCCAAAGGGCACATTCCTGTGCTGCTGCTCTGGGGTGATTCATTTTCCATCAAAATAAAACTCCATTACTTAGAAAAAGATTAAATATTTTAGAAACAAAGCACTTCTGGTCCAGGGGCATGGACACAGCCAAGAGCCTTTCTGAGGCTGGAAATCTCAGGCTGGCTGTGTCCGCCCAGCCCTCAGCGGCAGTGAGACAGGGATGGACACCCCCATCTGTTTTTCTTTTATAAACCTTCAGTATCGTGGTCTCTTTTGTCAGCAACAGCAATGAACCTGCGTGGAGACCTGGCTCCGGATTTTGCGTCTCACTCCCCAGAAGGGATGAAATACTCCCAGTGTTGCTGGTGCAGGCTCCAGGTACCGCCCCGGAAGCTCTGGAGTTACTCAGCCGCAGGGCTGGTGGGAAACGATTTTATTTTCGGTAAGGCTGGAGGGTGAGAGCACGCCGCAGCTGAGATTCACCTCTGCACCAGGAAAGCAAAGCTCTCCCTTTGGGCTGGCTCACAATGCTGGGAGCAACACCCCTGGATCAGCCTGCTGTCGTCGCTCGGCAGGTACGCTATCCATCAGCAACTCCCGCAGTCAGGATGGGGAAGGGCTGAAGGTTTATCTCAACGGCAGTTGTCCTTGGGGTGACTGCTGTCCGTCCATCGTGCGTGGGTGGGCAGCCAGAGTCTGGCTGATCCAGTGCTAGGGAAAGGGAGCCCTTCCCTGCAAAGCCTGGGCACCTTCTTCTCCCCTTTTGTGTTCTTCTAAGGGCCTTGTATTACACCACCTTGGAGATGCATTTTTGGGAGGTTAAAAAGCATAGCACGTCACTAACGTTTACAAATACCTGGCCAGCTTTTATACAACACGAGCATTCAATACAACTACCTTTATGTGTTCTTTGAAAAGAAAAAAGTTGTCATTCATGGTACGGGAGGAAGGCAACAGTCTGGGCTCCCAAAGCACCCCACCGCGTGAATCCACCCTCGGCCGGGACCTCCAACGCTCGTCCTTGCTCAGCACACCCACCCAACAGCCGCAGAGCTGGGCATCATGTCTGCGGTGTCACAGCACCGTGCGCCGGGTGGGGGGGCTCCCTAGGCTCGGCTGTTCTGTCTGTCTGCACCAAGCCTATGTCGTCAGTCGTGCCTGGTACAGCTTGCAGGTCCTCCTGGCTGTCGGCCAGGCCATCCTGGCTCTCCAAATCGCTTACCTGACCCTCACCGAACTCCAGGATGGTTGGCAGGTTGCCTTGCTTCGGGCATCGTCTCTTTAAGCTGACCAAGAAGGGCTGCGGCAAGGAGAAGATGTCCACGTTGTTGCCGAGGTCGATCCAGGTGACGCTGGGGAATTTCTTGGGGTCCTTCAGGGTCTCGGTGAGGTCCCGTAGGATGGCTTTGGTGAGCCGGTTGCCGTTGAGGGAGAGGGTGGTGAGGTGGGGCAGCACGCAGAGTGCCGGCAGCAGTTGCAGCAGCATGTCATCCGTCAGCTCCGTGAAGCACAGCTCCACCGTGTCGATGTGCTCCGAGCTGTGCTGGAGGTAAGACGTGACGCGGTCCAAGTCTTTCAGAGTCAGTGGGATGCCCGACAAGTCCACTGTGTTGTCCTGAGGCTTCCCCATCAGGACAGCTTTCAAGCTGCAGAGCAAGAAAAGGAGAGGGATGTTATTGTGGGGGGAGGGTCTCTGCTTGGTGGCATCGCGCTGGGCTCCGTGGCTGCTCTCGGAGAGCAGAACATGAGTTATTGGGGTAAAACATTCAGCTGGGGGTAACTGACTTCTGTATAGGCAGGAGTGTGTCTGTGGAGCTGGGGGACAGAGAGACATTTTGAGGCTGTTTACTGATAGAAGTTGGCCAGAAACAAGCATATTAAAAAAACCATAATTCAGAAAGAGCACAGATTCCTTTTCTATGGCCACTGCAAAACCCTAGAATAAAGAGGTTATCCTGCTGCTTTAAAAGGTGCAGAAAAGGGTGAGGAAGCCCTTGATTAGACGGACAAGAATTGCTGGTTCTCACACTGCTGATTACGAATGAGCAGGAGGACACATGCTTGTCCTCTGGGCTGTAGGTGGGACCATGAGGACCTGCACCAGGATGACTCTAGCCCAAGACAGCCAACGTGGGATAGACACCTCCAGGGTTAGGTGATTTGCTCTAATATTTCCAGATGTCTCTTCAGTCCAGCTGCCAAGCAGGCGAGCACTGCGAAGTCCTTAGATAAATAAATAAATTCTCACAATGGCCCTACAGAGCCCCATCAGCATGAGCTAGACTGGAGCTTCACAGGTCAGTTTATCTTCTAAAGCAAATCAGAGAACACATCTACAGTCAGGACCTGTTGGCAGACTAACACTGGTGAGGACTTTCTGCTAATGAATTATTCTGAGTGAATTAGGAGCTGGAAGGAGCCTCACACATGCTAATTGCTCATGCCAATGCAGTGAGCTCACCTCTGCCGTGGTGGCACAGGCATCAGCCTCGTGCCAAACCAGCCAGCTGTGGAAATGCTTCTGCCTGCCCTTACAACCCGAGCCAGGGAATGGTTCTGCCTGGGACCTGCTGGATTTTCTAGCTGCAGATGCAAACCATCGCTGACACTGCTTCTCTTCGCCGCCGAGCAAGCCCACCGCGCCGCAGAGTGCCTCTGCTCTAGGGCCAACGCGCCTGGTGCGAGGCTCTCACACAGCACGGTAAGATGTTTTACATCCAGTCCTGCGACGTGCGACCCAAACCGTGAGCCGTTTGTGATCTGGGGGGGTGTAAGTGTTGGGCTTTTTCCCTGAGGAGTTACAGAAGTAGCACAGCGGTGAATTGTGCCGAGCTTTGATTTGTCATAACACGTGCAGACGTACAATCTTGCACGGTGTTGTGAGCCCTCCGCAAGACGTGGAGGGAGTCACTCAGAACAGAGGCAGGGTGGAAGGAAATGGAGGTTAGTTATAATCACCAAAGCCATTTTTGTTGGCTGATTGATACCCACAATCACCACTGGGGTATGAGGAGTTTGTCAGGGCCACGTGATGTACTGGAGACCTGCAAGGCAAGGAGGAGTGCAATTCCTGTGCCTGTCAATAAGGGAGTCTCCAAATCCCAAGCTACTCCTCTGCTCTCTTGAACGGCACAGAAGCCATGTACTGGGTGCCCATGGCCACAGATTGGCTACGGAGAGCTGGCCATGACCCAGCTGAGCCAGC